GATGAATTTACACATCAAATCAATTCTAGAGTTATGAAAAATTAATGAGAGTACATATTCAACTGTTGCACTGATGATACATAGACTGACCGTGTGACCGTATCTGGGACCAGGACCAGATTTTTTGATAGTCTCATTACCAATTCGACTGATTTCATTACACGGTTTTAACATTAGATAGTAGTCCCATACTGTTTCAGTGAGACTTACTGTCTACTCTTATCACATTTTCCAAATGAGACCATGATTTCCACTTCTCAATTTAAATTATTTTTATTGCTTTAAATGACTTTAAATCTCATTTGAGTGTTATCAAAAAGTGTTACTTTTTAAAAAATTAAAAATAGTCTAAAAAAACCTTAAAATGTCTAAAAATAGTAACTTTATGTCAAGAATGGAACTAAATGAGACCAAATGAGATCACTTTCTCATTTTTTTCAAGTCATGGTCCCATTTTAAAATCTGATATATAGTCACTTTGCAGGTTTTTTTGATAGCCAGTCCCAGCGGGATTCACGCCAAGAAATGTATGAGATCAGATCAAATGAGATCAAACATGAAATTTATAATCTCAGCAGTCAGTCTAATGATACATGATATTCTGATAATTTCATTGACAGAGATGAGAATGAAGTGAAAGTTTAACTCAAGTTGAGATATTTATCACTATCATCAGAGACAATTACAAGGAGAAACAATCAAGAAACTCATGATTATAAAACATGAAATTATCAGACAGTTTAATATCTCTGATCACAGTATATCAGAGAAGTGTAGTTTTCATGAGAAAGTGAAGAATAAACTTGCACAAGAATGTATTTAGTTGTTTCATGAGTGTTATTAATAATTGTTATCAAATTCTGATTATATAAGTAATCACTGAATGAACTGAATGAGACTGATTTTAATCTTCAGTCTCAGTCTCATTCTGATTTTGAAAGAATGATCATCTTTCATAGTGTATTCTGAGAAATTACTTTCATTTCACTGTTCTTGAATTAAATCTGGTCATTTTTCACATCATTTCTCTCAGAAATGATCCATTTTCAGATTTTTTTAAGGCTTGATCCTGGTGAGACTCACGTCAAGAAATGTATGAGATCAGATCAAATGAGACTAAATGTGAAATTCACGATCCGGCCGGCCAGTCTACTTACAGACATGCTGAAGAGTGAAAATAAGAAGAAGTTATTCTGTGAACAGAGAATGAAAAGATTGTTAAGAAGAGAGAACTGTAAGAACTTTCTTATCTCAGAAGCTTATAGAGTCTTTACAAGATTAAAACAGATATTCACAGACACAGTGATGCTGTTTCACTTTAATCTCTTACTCTTAATCAGATTGAAGACAGATATCTTCTTCTTTACAATTTCAGAAATAGTCTTGCAACTACAGTCAAATAAGAACTGAGTTTCAGTAACCTTTTTCTTATGAAAGATATAACTCACAGAGATCAACTATAGTATTTATGATCAGAAGCTTCTTATAATAGTGAAATTCTTTCATCACTGATATTATTACTTTGAGAATCTTATAACAGTGATTACTGTTAGAACTGATTATGATAGCTTATAATAGTTTGCTTTAATTAAGAAACTCTCACAGTAGCAGATTCACTGAGCTCAGAGACTGAGTGAGTTCTGATTCAAGATAGAATATATCAAGAGAACTAAGAACTCAGCAGACAGACTCTCTCACAGGTCAGACTATATTAAGAAGGTCAGAGTGACAGATACAGAGAGACTAGAGAAGATAGAAAAGCTTCACAGAATGCTCAGACTGAGTGTTGTAAAGAGATTGACTGAAGAGTCTCTCAATCTCTTATAAGAGAAGAAAGAAGAGAGAGAAAAGAAGTCTGTATAACTACTCTTTACAACACTGAGAGTCAACACTCTGAGAATTTTTATAAGAATTCTTGAAGAGAGTATCAATAATCTGAAGAATTTACAGACTTTGAGAAGTATCACAGAAGATCTAGTGTAAGAGAAAACAGAGTATAAGTCTTTATAAGATCTTCTATTCAGATTGTCTGAACTGCAACTGAAGAATAAATATACTTAGCATATTTAGAAACTGCTCACAGCAGAGATCAATTCTGCAGAAATAAAGAATTAAAGAGACTTAAATAATCTCTTGTAAAGAGAGAGTCAGATTTATATACCTGTGAATAAGTTTCTATATATAGAACTCATTAAAAGATATTATAACTCTTCTCTAATAGATTATTTTATAGATACTAGAACTCATAAGTTACTTACAAGAAAATACTTCTAACTGAAGATATGAGAACTTGTGAAGAAGATTATGAATTCTTATACTATTTATTAGAATTCACAGATAGTGCAGTTCAGATTATATAAAGAACTTACTTCTCTACTCATTCTGCAGAAACCTTGAAAACAGCTAGAAATGAATACTCTTACAGGTCTTTCTGAAAGCAAGAATATATATAATGCCTGTTTTAACAGTGTGCTGATGATAGTGAATTACTTTATTAAGATAACACACTTTATACTCATCTGTAAGAACTTGAAGTTAAAGAATTTGACTTATATCTTTATCTGTGATATGATTCAGTTGCATAAGTTATCTGTGAATATTGTCTCAGATAGAAGATCAATCTTTATAGAAGAGTTCTGATCTGATCTGATAACTATACTGAAGATCTTGTGAGATCTAAGCACAGCTTTTCATCAATAGACAGATGATCAGATAGAACATCTGATAAGTATATTGAAACAGTATCTGTAGTACTTTATCAATTACAATCAGAATGACTGAATGTATTGATTATCACTTACAGAGTTCATATACAACAACTCAAAGTATATCAGCACAGACAAAACTCTTTTTGAGATACTTACTAAGACTTATCTACAGATGATCTTGATGAACCTGTGAGAGTATACTATAGAGTGTGATAATGTCTGTGAACAGGCTGAGAGAATTCAGAAGATTCAGAAGAAAGCTTATAAATTCTTAAGAAAGACTTAAGAGTATCAGAAGAGATACTATGACTTTAAACATATTATAAAGAGTTTTAAGAAAGATGATAGAGTCTGACTAAGTCTAGAAAACATCATTATATAGAGATCTAATAAGAAGCTGAATCTCTTATAGACAGAGTCTTATAAGATTATAAAGAAAGTTAGCTCACAGTTCTATAGATTGAAACTGTTATCTAGATTACAGATATATAATATTTTTCATATCTCTTTACTCTATAAATATAAGAAATTCTCAGAAGAGAACTCTGTGACTTATTACTCTATCTATAAAGTACTAGAGAGTGAAAGAGAATATCAGATCAAAGAAATTATTAACTCAGAGAAGTGAGATTACAAGCTCTAATTCAAGATTCAGTGATAAGAGTATTCTGATAAGATGAATAAGTTCACTTAAAAATCATTCAGATAGATAAGATATCTGCAGAAGCTGAGACATGACTTTTATACTATAAAATCTGATAAGTCAGAATAATACAGTCTTCACTAAGAACCTAGTTATAATAAAGATATTAATACTGTCATTTATAAGTTCTAGTTTATAAGATAATGAGTTTCTACTGAAATGAACAGTCTGCAGTGTACACAAGAGAAGAAAAAATCATATTCTTATTAAAGCTAAAAAACAGAAAATAAACAGAGCTGTAAACACAATTTAGAGACTAATAAAGAAAAAATAAAACTCACACTTACATTCTTAATATCTGTGACACTCAATTCTCTTATAACTATCAATTTTCTTCTTCAAAGAAGCAGAGAGTATCATACCTGCAGTACAGACAATTGTTATATTTGATATAAAGACTATCAGAAATGCACAGACTTCAGAGAAGTCAGACATCAGAGTACATACAGTTGTAGCAGAGTCTTAAGAACTAACTGTCTGTGTATATGATCAGATATCTCTTACAAAGCTGTATTCACTCTCTCAGTTATGCTGAAGTATTCAGCTCAGAAATAATTAAGATATGAAAAAAGAGCTCATCTACTCAGATTAACTCTTATTACAAATTCATAATATTCACATTGTCTTAATTACTCAGATTTTACAGGTATCTGAGAACTTATCTCTTATTGATAATGAAATTGCAGAAATGTGCTGTGATGTGAGAATCATTAATAGAGAATCTAGACATATTCATATATATCTGATCAGAGATTGTGTGAGCAGAGAAGAGATAATTATAGGCCTGTGAGACTGCAGAAGACACTGATAATATCAGAAGCTTTACAAGAACTATCAGCTAAAGTCTGTAAGAAATTACTTATAAGAAGACTTACAGTAAAGAGAGAGACTGTACTGCTTAAAGTCAGAGACTGATCTGAAAGAGATATGAAGTTAACTGCTGATCTGAAGATCAGATGCAGTGACAGAGCTGAGAAAGATAAAGACATAGTTGTAAGTAACAGTATTCCTGCTTTATCAGCTGATAAAAAGTGATCAGAGAAGTTACAGAAACATCTATAAGAAGCTTAGCAGCAGTCAGACATTATTATAAAGATATTGAAATTGAAAAATTTTTTATTCTTGAAAAGTTCTTGAATCAATATATAAACATTGTCAGAAACACTCTCTCTCTATCATCTGAGTGAAAACCCTTTACAGATGAATGAAAATACTCACAGTTCATAAGAATAAGAGCTGTTATAGAAAAAGAAAAAAGAAGATGAGATTCTGTAAACAGATCTGAAATATTTATACTACTCTAGAGAGATTTACTTACACTGTGAGTAATTCTATGAAACAGTCAGATCACTCTAGTAAATAAAAGTAATTATGAATCACAGATCTGAATCTTTTTATATAACTATAAAGAGTGATTACAGACTGTGAACATCTTGATTCTACAATTCTACAGAGTTGATAAAAGAATGGAAAATTTCTTACAATTCTACAGTATCAAAGAACAATGATTTATGAGAATGAGTGAAAGATTAACTTATAAATGCTTCTCTTTGATAAGAATAATCTCATAGAGAGTGATTCATCTGTGAGATGAATCTGTGTAATAATCACACAAGAATCTCATAAAAATGATTAAGAGTCAACTGAAACTCTTCTATATAAAAGATGTGAGATGAATCTGTGTGATAGTCAGAAAAGAATCTGTAGATTATAAAGAATCTCATGAAATAAGAAACTGAGTAACAGACTCTTTTCTCTTCATAGTAATAAGAGATTTTTTCTCACTAAGATTTTTTATAGATATGAAGAATTTTTAGTAAGTATCACTGCAGTGCTGAGCTGATTCTATGAAGTCACTCAGTGAAAGGCTTCACAGATGAAGTCTTAGAGAGAGAGAGATATGTAAGAAATTTCACTTCTTATAAATTCTTTATCTCTATTTCTATCTCTTATATAATTAATAGAGCTAGCAGCTCTTGACTACACATAACTATATAGACTGAAGTTCATGAATACTATTCATAACTCAGCTTGAATGCTATTATACATTTGATCTCTACATTTTATCTTTCTACCGCGAATACTTCTAGTAGTTAATAGTATATATCGGCATCATTGTTATTCCTTAGTATAAACTACAATTACTACAACAACCGCTCCACCACGAACTCGCTCGATTTTTCGAATAAGAACCCGCCGATAGATCCATCGAAAAGCCCTCGATCATACGAGCATTTTGACCCCATCGCCGACCGCATACCCCGTGTGGTGGTGGAGTTATCCAGCCAAACGTGAACCGGACGTTGTTCGAAGCTCCTGTGTGGGATTATCCCCCATTCTCCCCTACCACACCACAACCCCGGGCCAGAGTGCCATACAAATTGTAAGGTGAAGTGACCTAGCCATATGCACCAATCTTCTCGATTTTGGAAGACCCCCGACCTGTAGTTGTGGAGATATCCGAGGAGCGACCTCCGCGAAAACCCTGTCCATCTTTGATGTTCCAAAACACCAACGCCAAGTCTCACCCTCGTACCGCCCTTCCCAATCTGGCCCATCCCCGGCAGAAAAATACAAAAAGATACCTCGGCGATAATATCAAGCACATAATCAACAGACTCTTCTGAAGTGCAACCTCCACGGTCCGCCGCCAGTGTATCTAGACTTCAACACCAAGTCTCACCCCTGTACTACCCCTCTCAATCTGGCCCATCCCCAGCAGAACGATATAAAAAGATACCTCGGCAACAGTATTCAATACATAACCAGTGGACAACGAGTCAACAGCACATCAACAACTATAAAATCAGTATACCTCAAGGTCTGACTGAGCCTTTGATCCCTGCACAGTGAGATATATTAAATCTAGTTTTAATACCTCAATATTCAATAGATTCTGCAAGGGATTGAGAACAGCAACACTAGGTTTCTATTGAATTTGAGAATTAACTCTATATTGATATAATCATTGACAAAGTCTTTTATTTTGAGATATAAATAACCAGTTCCTCTACATCCCGCTGGCAATATTTATATTATCATATAGAAACAGACTTATATTCTCTATAATATCAAGACCCTGAAGAGGGAAAGTCTTGATAGAGAGTATACAGTAGTGTATATCTTAGCAGTTTCTATCTCATTCTTCTGCAGCAGTTAATGCAAAAAAAAAAAAAGATCTTAGAAATAGTTTTTTACTTCTCTTGAAAAAGTAAGATGTTTTTCTCTGGGTTTTACACAATATTCTTACAAAGAATTAAAAACAGAGTTGTTTTCTGTCATAATTTCATATTCTTTTAAGTAAGAATTACTTTTTCAGTGACTGAAGAGCTTTCATTAATACTTAATTCTTTTTTACACTCTTTATTAACTGATTTGAGTTGCACACTTGTTGTGTGAGGAGAATTGAATGATTTAGAATAAAATTGAATAGTTTTAATCAATTTCTCTGCAAAAAATTGATTTATTTTTTGTCAGTTTTTCTCTCAAAAACTGTCATATCATCTGATTTATTATCAATTGATATCATACTTTTCCTCACTGTATCCCAAGAAAGAGATTGTAAAGATTTTATTGATTTATCTTAAAAATCAATTTTAGTTTATTAGATTCTCTTCAAAAATCTAACCTAGTTACTGAACTAGTGTGAAAAAAATCAGGTGTTTTATACATAAAAGTCTTTTATTCTTCTTTTGAAACAGTCTGACCAACTTTTCAATTGAAAACAGACTTAGAAATATCTCAATTGAAACAGTCTGACCAACTTTTCATTGAGTGAAAACAATGAGTTCAAAAATACACTCAGTTGATGTGGAAAAAGATGCTTTCTCAAATGCTATTCCTGAGATTGAAATTCTGAAGAGAAGAAAGAAAGAAGAAATAGAGAAACAACAAGTTCTTGAAATACAGGAACTTGAAAAAGCAAGCAAGATTCTTGGAAAGCAGTGTCTGAGTGAGATGAATGAAGAAGTTCTGTTAATTCTTCATGCTCAGGCCAGACAACTACAGGAGATGATCAAGTTCAAACTTGAAATCTCAAACACAGTTCAAAAAACCTTGAAAATTCCTAGTACAATCACTGACTCTTCATCTTACTCTTCTTCTTCCTTTCTTCCTACTTCTTCTTCTTCTTTGAATCAGAAGAAAACATATGCTCAAGCAGCTGAATCTGCTGTCTCTAAACCTGCTGTCTCAAAATCTGCTCAAAATCCTGAGAAAACTGAGAAGAATACTGCTCATGTCTCTATTCATAGAAAAGTGGAAAAGAAAATGTAAAAAGAGAAAAACTTCCAAATCTCTAGAAATAGAAGACTCATTCTCAAAGTCTCAAACCAGGACATTCTGCAAAGAAACAAGCTAAACTCAAATCTCATTTTCAGAATCAGAAATGAAATTAATCAGCAGTTCTTTTCTCAGTTGATGACTGATATTGAAGTTCAAAAACCAGTTATAGCTTCAATTGAGCCATCATTCTTTGGAAACTCTATTATTCTGACTACAATGTCTGAATTCAGTGCTGAATTTCTTATTCAGAATGAGAATCTCTGAAAGTCAGCAGTAGAATCATTGCTAAACACAACAATTCTATCTGAAAGAGATGAAAAGTGAGGCAAATTCATTCTTCATGATATTTCAGTTGAAATTTTTGACTGTGAAGAAGGAATGCTACTTCTCAAAAATGAATTGAAAGAATACAACTCCATTCAACTGAGAAAGAAGCCTGTATGACTAAATTCAATTGAGTTCAGACAAAGCAGGAGAAATGCCTCTGTTCTAGTATATATAAAAACACTTGAACAGTCAAAGATCTCTGAAGTAAGAGTAGCAGGTTTGAAAATGAGAGTTCATGAATACAAAGACTCAAGAATGAATCTCAAAGCTCAAACACAGTGTTCAAACTGTTAAAGATATGAACACTTTGCAATCTCATGTTTTAGAGACTCAAAATGTGCATTCTGTGCCAGAGATCACAAAACTAGTGAGCATAAATGTGAAACATGCTCAAAAAGAGATGAAATTTGTTAATATACTCTGCTTAAGTGCTCTAATTGCAAAGAAAAACATGCATCTAGCTCAAAAGAATGTATGTTTGCTTCTAGAACTCAAAAGAACTGAAGAAAAGATGAAGCTCAAAGTCAATTTAGAACTGAAGAGAAGAGTCAAGCCAGTAAACTCACAACTGCAAGCTCAAAAAGAAGAAACTCTCAATTATCTAAGTCTTCAAACTCCAATTCTCCAGCAAAATGTAAACAGAATTTGAATTCTCAAACTCCTGTTAAGATTAGAGAATTGAGAAATGACTCTGGTGATAAACTAGATATAATGCAAGCAGTTGAGATTTCTACTTTTCAGAACAGTTATAATCTACTATCTGATGATAGTGATTAGATTCTTCTCTACTCTCTTTTAGTATGAATATACAACAAAAACAACAAAAAAAGTTTAAAAACTCTTCAAAAATCACATTTATTCAAAATAATGTGGATAGAAACTCAAATTGCATTTATTCTTGTCTTCAAATTGCATTTGAATAAAAAGTTGATTTTGTACTGCTTCAGGAGCCGAATTTTGATGCTGAGCAAAAATATGTCATTTCTCATTCAAGCTACTACTGCTTTTTACCTCAAAAGTCTGAGATAAAGTCAAGAGTAGTGATCTATGGAAGAAAGAGATCAAGATATTAATTTAATCTAAGATTTGATATCATGTCTGACCCTGATATTCTGGTGGGTGATATTATAGATAAAGAAAATGAGTTTGATACTATACAGCTCATAAATATCTATAATGAAAAGTCATTGAAGGAAAATAACAATATCTGAACAATTGATAGAGGATTTCTGAACATAACTCTATCAAGAAACTCTATAATTGCAGGAGATTTCAATGCACATCATTCCTGATGAAATTCAGAATGCAAGAGAGCAGTGAGAGCTGATAATCTGATTGAATGAACCTTTGAGCATTCAATAGATTTGGTTAATAAGTCTGATCAACAAACATTCTTTAGAAAAGGCATGAAACAGAAGTCTATTATAGATCTAACATTCATGTCACAAAATCTAATGAAAAGAAGACTTGTAAACTGATTTATTGATTCAAATGAGACATCAGGATCAGATCATGAGATTATTCAATTTAATATTGAACTGAGTGAAAAACAAATGAGTGAAAATCCTCTTCTCTCTAATCAGTATAACTTTGAAAAAGCTGATTGAAAAGCAGTTGAAGAAAGCATAAAACTGTTAAAATCTGAAAGACAGAATGAGCTATATTGGAATTCTGGTCAAGATATCTCAAATGAAATGCTTGAGAATAGAGTGAAGCTTATTACATCTATCATTCTAACAAGTGTTAGAGATAATATTTTAAAAAGAAAATCTTCTGAGTATTCAAAACCTTGATGAAATGAGAATATCTCATCTAAAAGAAAAGAATTAGCTACTGCTAGAAGAGATTGAAAGAATAATGTAATATCTGATAAAGAGTTCAAAACTGTCAGAAATGAATATTTTTCAGATATTAAAAGAGCTAAAACAGACTGCTGAAATAAATTTCTTGAAGAAGTACAAGAGAAGGAAGTTTTTAAAGCTTTTAACTATACTAAAACAAGAAGTGTAGCAAAACTTCCAGCTCTAGAATATGAGTTTCAGAATGAATCATATACAGCAAACTCTTTTGAGGAAAAATGTCAAGCTTTCATGAGAATTCTCTTTCAAAACTCACCAGATTCAGATTCAGATTCAGAGGAAGAGAATATATCACTTCTCAACTACATTGATGAAAATGACTGGGAATGGCCTGATCTTACACAAGATGAATTAGAGTCAGCTATCTTCTCAAGTTCTGTTAAAACTGCTGCAGGTTCTGATTCAATTAATCACTTAATTATTCAAAATACATATTCCTACTTAAAGAATGAATATTTTGAGCTCTTTTTCAATCTCTTGAAAAATGAATATCATTCTGAATGCTGGAGAGAAGCCACTGGAGTGATTCTTGCAAAACCTAATAGAAAAACTTCAATTCCTAAGTCATATAGAGTAATATCTCTATTGAACTGTTTAGAAAAGGTTTTAGAAAAGATAATAGCTACTTGACTATCTTTTATAAGCTCTATAGATGATTCTCTTTTATTCAGTGAACAAATGAGAGGTAGAAAACAGTGTTCTGCAATTGACACTGTTCTCTCAGTTGTTCATGATATTCAAATAGCAAAGTATGAGAGTCTGGTCTCAACTGCAGTTTTTATTGATATAAAAGAAGTGTTTGATCATGTTTCAAAGTCAAAGTTAATTCAGACATTGAAGATATTAAAACTGCCACTTTCCCTAATAAAATGGATTAACTGTTTTATGTCTAAAAGAATTATACAACTCTTCTTTGATGGAATGAAACAAGACAAGACTGAGATAAAAATAGGAGTACCACAGGGGTCTTCAATCTCACCCATTTTATTTGCAATATACACTGCATATCTATTCAAAAATAGAAATATGAGAATAGTGTGATCTCCGAGTTATGTGAATGATATTGGTCTAGTCTACAGCTCAAAAACTATCAAAGAGAATTTGAAAGTAATTGAAGAAGCTGCAAAGGAAATCTTTGTTAGAGCAGATATCAATCAAATTCAATTTGATATGAATAAAACTGAGTTAATTCATTTCTTTCCTAGATTCAATGAGAAAGAACTATCTCTAACTCTTTTAAATAGAGAGATTAAACTCAGTGTAAATGTCAAATGATTAGGAGTATGGTTAAACTTCAAGTTGAATTTTAAATATTACATTCAACAAAGAACTGTCAAGACAGAAAGACTATTGAACAACATAATCAGACTATCAAATACAGAGAGGGGTCTATCCTTCCAGGCTATGAGACAGTTATATATAGCCTGTATTACATCAGTAGCTGATTATGAAGTTCAAGTTTGGTGGAATAATCAAGGGAATTTCACTGAACTCTTTCAAAGTCTGTAAAACAGAGCCTTGAGAAGAATTCTGGGAGCATTTAAATCATCTCCTATTAAAGCAATGAAAATTGAAGCTTCAATTCCTTCTCCTACTATTAGATTTGAAAAGGCCTGTATGAACTATGCTCTGAGAGTTGTAAAGATGAGCTCAAATCATATAATCAGAGAAAGAGTCTCTTCTTCATTTCCATCAATTAACTCTGGAAATGAACTGGATTGGAATAGATTTCTTGATTGGAATGAAAATAATTCTTCAAAGAAAATGCCTTCTTAACTGTACAGACTATGCTCTCTGATTAAAAATCAATTTTCTTCTTTAAATGTTGAAAAAGTTGATCATGAGAAGTTATCTCCCTGGAAAAAAAAGCTTGAATCTCTTATAGACTTACAAATAAGTGAACTATCAAAAGAGAAAGAATATGAACAGCATTTGAAGAGAATTTCTACAATCAATATAAAAGACTCTATTCTGATTTATTCAGATGGCTCAAAAAATGAGAACTTGAATAGATTAGGTGCAGGCATTGCTTATACTGAAGATAATATTAATTTTATCTCAGATTTCTGGAATCTAGGCTCTGAATGTGAAGTCTTTGATGCTGAACTATTTGCAATAGTGAAAGCTTTCAAACTCATTGAAATAAAATCTCATAAAAGAGGAAATTGTTTGAAAGAGGCATGAATATTCTCTGATAGTCAAGCTGCTTTAAAAAGACTTAGAAATAGTCAGATTCATAATGATCAAATGAATCTTGAACTGATCTTAAACTCTGTTTTAAAAATTCAAGAGAGAAGAACATCAAAGCTGAGAATTCATCTGCACTGAGTTCCTGCTCATATGAATATTCATGGCAATGAATTGGCTGATTCAGCTGTAAAAAAGAGTGCAGAATTAAGCAGATCTATTCAAAAAATTGTGTCCTGATCTTTTATAAAGAGAAAAATAAAAGAATCTTCTTTAGACAAGTGAAATGAAAGCTAGCAGAAACAAAAGAAGAGTATACATTATTCAAGATTTGAAACAAAACCCAAGTGGAAATCTTGTTCAATTAAATGTAAAAAGAAAATATTCTCATCTATAATACAGCTGAAACTAGGACATGGCTATTTCAAATCTTATATACAAAGATTTGATGATAGATTTGACTCAATAGAATGCTCATTCTGCAATACAAATGAGAATCCTGAGCATATTATAATGCACTGTGCATTATACAATAGTCTCAGAGCCAGATTGAAAGAGAAGTATAATCTAAATCAATTAAATATGAGATTCTTATTCTCAACTGAGACAGGAATTAAA